AGTTATTTGCTGTTATAACCTATGAACACTTGCTAGACCGCAGAACAGGACTCATGAAACGTATGCATATTAACCCGCCTCTAAGCATTGCTCATGGTCTCACGCTGTGCCACTAGTAAAAACTTTGCTTGTCGTCCTGAGTCTAGGGAACAATACAGAACTCTGAAAGGTCTTATTGCCTTTTACACCTGCCTGAAGGTCGCGATATGTTGCACTCTTGGTTTTTTCGGATTTACTCTGATGTATATCCTCACACATGGCTGGGTTTACACGTTTTGTTTAGGTTTGACGAGCTTCATTTACAGAAAGCGTTCATTCGGGATCATTCACTAGGGATAGTATTCTGCTACAGGCAATCACAACGTTGGGCGAATTTTCACTGTCACGCACGCACACCATTTTGTACTTGGCATGTTGGAACATTTTGCATTTTGGCCTCACAGGATAGAGGAACCTATCAGCTTTCTACCAAGCTATCATTCCTATCCTTTCCGGTGTGTTACAGCTACAGAACAAATTAGGTATGCACTGTGGACAGTTCCAAGTTAGACGTGTAACAACCTTCGGAGATTTCTTTTTCAGTCGACAGGATCAAACAACCTGCGCTGCAGGTTATTAGCCTGCACGACCGGCCTACACTAGCTGTGATATCCGGGATGGCATAACAGACAGACGCAGTAGGCAAACAGAGACGCACCAGTCTTTTGACCTCGACCAGACGGACAACCGGTGAACTTTACTCAACGGCGAGACGTTAACAATCCACAACCCAGACAGCGATTTTTCGACTGCAATAGATACCGTAACTGTGATGATAAAGGAATTACCCTGTGGCACAAAAAGCAGATACCAATGTAATGAAGGTAGAGCTGACACGCACTCACTATACCAGTTAGTTTTCTTAGAAATGAGTTAGATTGTCGAAAATCAAATTAAGCTTTGTAACAGTTTATTGGGCCCACTTTTACTCTCTCCTGTATGTACGACGGTTCCCATCGTAAACTGGGTTCTTGCGGTACGACAAAAGAACGACAGTCTAAGCACTGAAACTGAACTTAAACGCAAAAGTTGCTTTGTTAGCGGTGAAAGCAGCTCATTCAAATACAATTTAGGAACCAAGAGAAGCCAATCGTTCTTACTAAATCTCATTACCGGAAACTCAGAACACCGAACTGACCCGTTATCGCGAACAATCGAAGCACGCCCGGCTCTACATTCTCATGCCTCCATGAGGGTGCCTCGCATAGTCGAGAATAAAATATTTATTCATTTATTCATTTTGTTGTCTATGACATTGACCGGACTAACCACGGTAACACCCACGCTTCTTAAACCTAAGCTGTTTAAACACCGATCAACTTACGTAACAGTTGCCGCTCGAGTTATTCAAATTGTGACTCCAGTAACTTCAACCACTATAGCCACATGTGCCAAAGACCAGGTGCAAACTGCAGAGACCTCACAACACCACCGGTAGATATGCACCCACATCACCGAAGACCAGGCAGAATTACAGTGCCCTAAAACTTATATGCGTCAACTTTCCTGAACCTAAGGCAAAACCATCAAGTGGTAAACAACAGGGCGATCTGAACCAGTGAAACGTCATTTGTGACTGGATCGCTGTTCCGGTCGGGCTGCGTAACTTATCATGCGAAGCACTACAGTGAGTTCCTACTCATAGGAGTAATAATGGGATTCACAGATGGTGCCGAGGCGGTGTCTTAGACAGCATACCGCCTCAGGAGTGAAGACAACGGGGTAGACATTTTTACTTGTGTTCCATACAGTGAACACCAGCTAAACAAAACTATTTTTAAAGGACCACCACACGGTAGTAGTAGAAAAACGAATCTCGTAGGTAAACTGTCTACCACGAACTCTTACTAAACCGACACTTCTGTTTTGGACTTACCACCCACAAATCTCGACGCACATTACTGTGCTTAGACTTATCCGACTCGGCTTTACCAGCGCCATCCAGTGGATCTACCATTACGGAGCTACCTAGCACACATTATTGTTGCATCTGTCACTGCAACTGCAGGGGGATATTCACAGAAATTCAAGCGCATCAACCACACTTTGGAGTGAATACGATCCATTTTAACCTCACTCGACGGAGTGCTCTTAGTGCTATCCATTGATTACTCCGTCTGATAGCTGCACCTGGTTTAGCATCCATCGTCTTAATACTCGCCATGCTAGTGTCAAGTCTACCATGCTCATGAAAGCTTAACTTTCCAACAAGTCGAAGCCCGGTTTGCTGGATAGCCAAGCGTCCGCCGTCTACACCAAAAATGGTCGCATGCTGACCTCCATCGGGGTTTTTCGCAACGATGGTACTACTCGTAAAATATCGTCAAACGACATCGTGTGCCTGTCACAACACGCCCAATGCTGGCAATGTACGCACGTGCCTGACGCCTCGGCAAAGCCTCGCATAACAACTAAAAGGAAAACAATGTCAGCCGACACCGTGTACCTGACCGAACGCGCTTAGTGCGTTGATTGATGGAAAGGAAAAGGTGATTGCAATTTATCCACTTGGCTGACGCATCGGCATGTTTCGAAACGCAGCAACGAGGAAAACAATGCGTACATGGTCCACTCAGCCGCAGACAAAAATGCTTTGCGTTTTGAAATTGTGTTCCAATACTATTCGGATTGGAATTACATACTGCAACGTCAGTAAGAAATTCCATCCCAAGTGACTACATTTAAGTGTAGCGAAAGTGAAAAAACAACACTGAACACCAGGCTCCATTTGGTTCTACATAAAGTATAGGAACACAGCAGCAACAACACTGGCCGGACACATTTCCTCCCAAACATGCTTGGAGGAGGAAATGGTGCCTGCCATGTAGAAACATTGCCTAATAACACCAATTTGCAAAAGTGGCAATCGCTCCCAGTCCTCAAACTATTGCACAGTAGTCCTCTGCCCTGCACTCTTAAAGGTAATGGAATCAAACTTTTTTGAGGCTTTAGTCGACCATCTAGAGTGCCAGATCATAGCATCTGAGCGGTACGGTTTCCATCAACACACGTCATGCATAACCGACCTAATGAGTACAAGCAATAGTTGGACGGAAGTGGCCGATACAGATAGAGGGTCTGATGTCATTTACCTTGACTTATTCAAAGCTTTCGACCGACTGGACCAACGCATACTGCTTCACATGCTCGAAAGCTATAGAGTTTGGGATCTAGTCCTTTGGTGCATCAGGACTTTCCTGCAGTACCGGCAATTGCAGGTTTGAGTTTGGAGTACGCTATCCGATCCAATTCATGTCGAATTTGAAGTTCTACAACGGTCAGTCTTGTGGTCGCGTCTGTTTCTTGTGTTTAGTGACGTGCCTACGCGTTTTATTGCTTTAGATATTTTATTTTTGCTGATGATGCTGAGATGTGGCCGGCGATCATCGAACCAGGGGATCATGATGCGTTGCAATGAAACCTGAAGAAAACGTGGGAGTGGTCACTCCAAAATCGGCGAAGTGTACGGTTGTGCGCACTCGTCACCAGCTGACCATCACATACAAACTTGACCATGTCCCGCAAGCGGTCACCCGGAAGCGCGACCTTGGGCTGCTCCGAACAAGCTGAGAGGGCGACAAAGACTGAACAGCAACACGCTGACATGCTGCGGATGACATTCGTGCGTATTGATCCGCCTGTCTGTTCACAGTTGCTCAAAACACTGCGGCCACTGGTAGAATACTCAATTCAGGCCTTTCTGTTACTTGGCATACTTGTGTGTGATCAATAGAGTAGCGACAAATGTGGAGCGGAAAGTTTACCCGATTTTGCTCAACTTTCGAGTTTTGAATAGGACCGAAGGTTTGCCCACAGCCGTCTGTACATTTAGCTTGCTCGTGTATTGAATGACATAGATAACCTTTTCTGATCTGTCAATAACGCCACCGATTCGATCAGACTGGCTAACTGTGGGGCAATCTTAATAGAAAAAGTCAAAGAGAGGACATAAAATTGATAAAGCGACAAGAGCACAAACCACGCAGCTAGATAATTAAGCGGTTTGGACGGCCCCGATAATGGGTAAGTAGAGGAGGAAAATTAAGCCTATTTTATGAGAAAAAGAATTTGTATTTTGAAAAACTGGGCAATAAAGCGAAGTGGGCTATAAACCGGGTGGGCCATAAAGCGGGTTTGACTGTATTAGTTAGCGACTACGGTACCGCACGCGATAACGCAGTAAACAATGATGAAGGCCAAAAAATTGGACGGCACGCAATCGCAAGATCTCCATCGGGTCCCAGAAATCGAACAATCATCAAAAACCCATTTGAGGTCAAGCAAGTAGTGTTCTTTTTCTCGAGTCTATTTGCAGTTACATTTGCGGTGGTGTGGCTGGAATGCTGAAGTCAGCAGAAAAAATGGAACTAAAGCGGGTTTGCTAAGCAGTATGAACTGCTGTTAGAACCTACCGGGACGGAACACTCAGGGAGCCGACCAATGCGAAAAATGCTTATGCTAGAAAACCTAGAGAATTCGATAGTTGCAATCTTTCATCGCTGTCGACTTGGTATGTGGATAGTGGTGCGCAATATTTGTACAGAGCGATGTTTAGTTACAACAGTGCAAGCAAAGAACTTTTGGAGATCAATGAGCGTAAAAGAGAAGAAACAATGCAATAAAGTTTTCGTATACACATATGATTGTTGGTTGTTCCTAACAGACGACCGAAATACGATTAACCAGTGGTCGCCTAGGTGATCATGATGATGAGTTTTTCTTGCGGGAAGAATGCAAAAAACTCTCGTCGAGAATCGGTATCATCACAGGAAGAGACCAAACCAATGCAGACATCAGGTCAGACAGGTCCAAAAGAGGAGGGTTTTCCGAATGACCATCATTTCCGTGCATCAGTTGTGATCGAGGGGGAAAAGGAGATCGGTCTTCACGCCCACCCTTCTTTTAAGCCTGTGGTGTGGTTACCGAACCACACGCACAAACGCGAAGGGTGGGATTTATCCTCATCCGCCGCCGCCTACCATAGGAGGGGCATCCGGACCACCTAAAGGGAGAATGTATCGATAGATTAGGCGAAGTGAAAAGCAGTGAGATCGCCCATAAGTAATAACGAAACACAAATGAACCTAATTTACTGCAGCACAGCTGCCGTTGGAAGGTACGCATTAGTGTGTCCGGTTGAGTTCACGGTGCAACAGGTCAGTTCACGATGAGAAAAAACTGTATGTGGCAGTGAGGTTGGGAGGATGCGTCTGTTTGGTCAAACGATACAACTGAACTAGTACATGAGTGCAAAAGCAGAAGAAAAAGAGCAAAGTTTCGAATCACGGGAAAAAATGTTTGACGGCCTAGAGATGCACAGGATGACCAGTGAAATCCAACCAACGAAACCACTTAATCATGGCAATTCCCACAAGACATCCACCACAACTTGATAGGATAACACATGGTTGGCGGCATCCAGTTTCGGATTTGCCTGTCACTGTGGCCAACCACAGGACGCCTGCGCCTACAGAAGGATCATGGGTGGCTTGCGCTGCACCATCCACAGCTCCAACCACACACCCCATATCCAGTGTAAACCCGAAGGAATAAGACCGGGAGACATGTGGATGGGAGTCACGTTTCATCAACGGAGCCGGCCCACACTCCTTCACAGGCAAAACACAAGCACACTGTATTTGGGGATCAAGCGCTCACAATGCAGTGGCTGGACCGTAGTCCGCTCCACACTGAGTGCATGGAACCACTCTTCGAGCCTAGCATGGCCTTAAGGACCGTAAATCTCCTCCCATCCAGCAACGACCAACTGTCTGCTGGAGCCAGTATGGACGAGGTAGGCACCTCGTCAACATGCAAATCAAGTGCAGCCACACCGGGGATATCAAACAACAGCCAATCACTTGAAACGACAAAATGAAATGAAATAAATCGAATAATGCATACAGATACGGTGACAAAGCTCTTCACTAAATGAGCCTATAAAATAAATCGGTTAAGAACAAATCCGCGATAAATTGAAGAAGTCAGAAAATATATTTTAAGAAAATGACACAAACGCGAAAATGTTACCGAAATTAACCAGTTAGCTTAAGCGACGTGTGAAAGCTTTTGGAGATAGTTCAGGTAGACATTAATTTCAGAAAAAAAGCATCAGGACATAATTGCAAACCCACCACCTGAAATAAAGAGACTCAGCATGCAAGCAAGTGGTCAGTAAATCGAATGCAGCCTACCTACAAACGCTGCGCCGGTTCTGCCTACGTTCTCTGCAGGACCCGTCGTCGCTTCGGTAGTGGTCCAGAGTGGTCTCGCTCATGACTCACTAGGCCTGCCTGACTCAGGCACTCGCGATCGCATGTGCTACAGCACCATGCGCTCGATGTTGATGAAGTACAGGTAATCGGCGATTACCGCTTCTTCTCAGCATGTATGAGGTTTTTCTCCCGCCACTTGGCAAGTGCCTTCGTGATTAGATCGCGCCATGCACGCTGATCAACCGCCTACGATTACCATGACCTGCAATCAAGATTAGAACGTGAGAAGCTCACTTTGATCACGTCCTGGTAACGAAGCTCCGGTTTCCCCGCATGCCGCTTCCCAATACTCAGCTGGTCATATAAGAGTTATTTCGGTATCCGTGTCGAATCCATACGCCACACATGACCGAGCCACAGGTGTCTCAGCAAAAGTATGCAGTCCACTGCATACATCCCACTTTGTCGCAACACTTCCGTGTCTGCAACTCTGTCGCCGCATCCGATGTGCAGAATCCGGCGCAGACACTGCTGATGGAACCGCTCGAGATATCGCACATCCCGCCGATACATCGTCCATGTTTCACTGCCGTATAGAAGAACGGACAGCAGCATGGATTTGTACACCATCAGCTTCGTGCCAACGGTAAGCTGATGGTTGTTCCACACTCGGTACTCAAGCTACCCGAATGCCGCCGCTGCCTTCGACACGCGAATATGCAACTCAACGTGTAGCTGCCGATTAGTCGACATCACACTCCCAAGGTAGCAGAAACGGGAGGTGGTTTCCAATACTTCAGCACCAATGCTGATTCGCGGCAATATTGAAGATTGCACCTCCGGTGAAGGCTGAAAGAGACAGACAGTTTTGATTGTGTTGATGTTGAGCCCGAATTTGGCCGCTGTTGAAGTCAGAGCACTAGTCATGTGTTGCAACTCATCCGCGCTGTGTGAAAACAACGCACAGTCGTCAGCAAACAGCAACATACGGATAGTTGTCTCACAGACTAGAGTTCTCGCACCGAAACGACGGATGTTCAGCAACCCACCATCAATACGGTGCTCCACACGAACACCGTAAGCACAAGCGGCATCAAAAGCACAAGACAACATTGCATGAAGATATATATATTAAACAGGGCAGGAGATAAGACACAGCCTTGCTTCACACCAGAGACAACTGCAAAGTCATCCGAGGTCTGTCCACTCAGCTGCACCCTCGCCCGCATACCACTGTGCAGACATTCAAGTAAAGTTACAAACCTACGCGGGCAACCAAACTTACCCAACACCAGCCACGATGCCTCGCGGTTCACCGTATCAAATGCCTTGGTGAAATCAACAAAAAGCGAGTACAATGGCTAGTGTCGTTCTCTGCATTTCTCCTGCAACTGACGAGTCGCAAACACCATATCGATGGTGCTGCGACCCGAACGGAATTCACATTGCTCTTCCGCCACGTTCGGTTTCACAACCTGACTGACGAGGCGGTTGAGCAGGATTCGGGCAATCACCTTGCCCACACAACTCAGCAAGTTGATACCACGACAATTCGTACAACATTGCTTGTTCCCTTTGCCTTTGTACAGTGGTAGCACAAGGGCATCCTTCAGCTCAGCAGGCACCTCCTCCTCAATCCACACGCGTTGCACCAAGTGGTGCAGCGCTGTCAATAACGCGGGTCCGCCGTATTTCAAAACTTCAGGCGGGATCCCGTCGGCACCGGCACACTTGCCGTTTCGCAGCTGAGCAAGTGCTCTCTGCGTCTCATCCAATGTCGGCGTGTCCGCCAGACTCGTCTTCACATCGTGGTGACTCAGGCAGTTGAAAATAGGCCAGTCGATGTCTGGACGGTTGTTCAAGAGACAGTCAAAGTGTTTCCGCCAGATCTGCATTACGTCCGCAGTCTGTGTGCAGGTAGCGCCTGAACTACCATCGATCAGCGTCCTCAGCGGTTCCAATCTCGGTCCATACACTGCCTTCAATGAGTCAAAGAATTCCTTTTGTTGGCGACGTTCGGCGTAGCATTCCATCTGCTTCGCCTTCTCCGTTCACCATGCATCTTTAAAGTGACGCAGCTCTCGGGTCAGACGCCGTCGAAGTTTGCGAAACCGACTATTCTTCTCCAAGTCACTAAGATCTGCATGTGCAACAAATGTTGCATTCTTCTACAACACCAATGCGCCAGTCGTCGCATTGTTCTCATCAAACCAATCAGGCCGCTTACAGTTTGCGCGCCCGATGGTCTTCTCGGCAGCAGCTGTCACATGATCGCGAATGTGGTGCCATAGGTCGCCCACTGTGGCTATGCATTCCACATCACAGTCATGCAGCCATCGCCTTCTCTAGCTCAATACGTTTCTCCACAGCACCGAGTGAGATAATGTTAAATTTACGCCGATTCACGGCGGGAGTGCTATACATAGATTTACGAAAGTATATGTACAGTTTGGTCCGCATCAATTTGTGATCACTGCCACGCTCAGCTCCACACATTAGACGTGTCATGCGTACTTCACGCATATCACGCTAACGTACGATGACAAAGTCGAGCAGGTGAGCGTGACCACTCCTTGAGTGCGTCCAAGTTGCTATATCACTCGCACTCAGTGCAAACCGTGTGTTAGTGATCGTCAGGCCATGAGTGGCACACGGTGAGAGCAGCCTATCACCGTTCGCACACGCTAAAGCAATGCTATGCGGACCGATGCCATCTGTCCACACCGATGCCTCCCGCCCAACGCGCGCGTTGAAATCACCCAGCAGAAATAGTCGGTCGCTCCTCGGCACAGACCGTATCACGGAGGATAGCTGAGAGTAGAAGTGATTACTCGTGTCATCAGGATAACACATGGTCGGACAGTACGTGCTGATAAAAGTGGCAAGCTTACCTCTTCCAAGTCGTGGGCGAACAGTTATCAGTCGCGCGCTGATGCCTGTTGGTCCACCCACCAGCTGGCCATGGAGGCGATCGGAAAATGCAAATCCGACCACATGTTTACGTGGTGTTGAGGCGGCGTTGTCCACCCATTCGCATGTGTAGCCAGCATCTGCTTCATGCAACTTACCTTGTTCACCGAGCCGAGTTTCACTGAGCGCCGCAATATCGATGTGGTAGCGCGCCAGTTCCATCGCGATCAGTGCAGTGCGTCGCTCCGGGCGTTCACTCGAGTTCCGGTCCAGTAGTGTGCGCACGTTCCAGCAACTGATGTTGAGTGCTTTGCGCGCAGGCATACGATTGCATTGATGGTCAATCGCACGCGAGATGGTCGTTGTGCTTCGAAGATTTACTTGAGGGACTCCACCCACGGTCTTTGGCTCAATAGCCTGACCCACAAAGCAGTGAGGAGCAGATACAACTCGGGAATGTGATTGCAGAGACAGACTGGGATCTGCTTGACGGCCGTCACACGCAGCCTTGGAGGTACTGGAACGATTCATATATGTTTTGCAATCGTAGTAGGATACGCACCTGCGACCACGGCCAGACGCAGGGGATTTTTGGTGAGTTTGCAACAATGTGACTAAAGACGGCCTGGTTTGAGGCGGGCAATAGCAAACCATTGAACGCTCGGAGGTGCCCTCCCACCGTCAGAGACAATGTGCGGCGTTCGTGCTTTACGCCAATCGAGCTGTGAGCTTATAACCCGTAGACTTGTTGTCTTCCATGGCTAGGTTTTACGGGAAGGGGGCCATTGATCAGTTCCTAACCTCCGAAGAGGATGGACTAGGATACTGGCAAGGCGCCCACACCTGATAGGAGAACGACTCGGGTCCTCAGCCAAAGCCTTCGATTAAATGGACACCCGAAAGGCAGCGGGTCTAGCACATGGTCAGTTCACTGACTCATGCGGATTGGTGTCCTGGATCTTAGCAGGCAGAAGGGGGTAACCCAACTCCCACCCAACGGTCGCCACGAGGCGTCCAGGACATGAACCCATACACAACAGTAGCAGCAGTGGGCAGGCCATCTGGCAGAATTTAGCCACCACCAGTCTCAGCGCACCATAGGATAACACATACTTTGTAGAAGAGTTCAGTTGCCTATAGAAACAATCAAGACAGCTTGAATGTTACCAAAGAAGAGGTTATATACATGCGAATGTTAATTCGAAGGTCACATGACAACTCCCAATCGAGAGCGGGGAACGTGTTTCACATTGAATCGACACATTGTTACAAACTGCAACACACGCAACCGACCTCCCATTGAATTCTTCAGAGCAGTCTATCAGAAAAAATTAGGCTTATGACACAAGGAACCCACTGCGATATACTGTGCACCTAGCCATGAACACTAGGCAAGTGACCTCTTATGGCACAAAAGCAAAACCAACCCATATTCGCGAAGAAACTCAGTGCTTACGGTAGTCCCAATCGGAGTACGCCATTCAAATTTGGATACCCTGGCAAAAGCTTGATTTTGCCGCACTCGAGATTTCACTAAGGATGGTGGGTAAGACTTTAAACAGGCTGTTCTACCTCCCTTACCAACTTAGATAAAATATACTATGGACAGTATCAGCGCGTGTGTGCTGGTCTGAGGAATACCAACACCGAAAGGCCATCATATGATATATCCGGTTGCAACGCCGCTGCATTTAGTACGTGTTCACCGTGGAACCGCAGCCCCATGTAAGTTAATTTGACCTCCACGATACCAATATCCAATAAACGAATCGGTGATGTAGTAGAAGGTTTACATAAGGCGATGGGACATTTTTGATTGAGCATCAATGTCCAGGTGAAATTCCTGGTGAGTTTAACAACACGCATTAGTTTGTTAACGCTCTTTGTTTTCGGAGCTATCCACTTGTCCATCTGATGGGACTTGTCAAGCTCCCGTTTTTTTACCCAATTCGGTAGTAAATAACAGTCACATAGTAAATTCTGTCACACAGCTTTTATACTCTCACCTGCCGTTTGAATAGTCAGCGAGATTAAGATAAAGTAGCAAACAGTCACTAGTGTTCGCTCCCCAAAATCAATAGGTTTAAAGTTAACAATCGCCGCATGAGGAAATATGAATTGCTCTACGCATTGCTTCGACGGCGATGGCACAAAGGTTTGATGAGGAAACCAATTCCTCGTCAATCGGCAAACGACTGATGCTCTAGTATGACCACGAACCGTGTTCTTTAAAAGTGATCTGGCGCCTACTCGTCTCACGTAGCTGGCAAGCCAAATCTACTCAGACTTGTAGGTTCGCATGAGTAATCATTACGTGTAGCAAATGCGATGCGCCCATTGGATGTGTGGACAAAGCACCGAAATGAAGTAGGCGAAATTCGATTGGTGGTCAGACTAGTTGACAAGTGAACTGCTGGGATGGTTCCAGATGGGCTCCTACAAAGACCCACACAGCAGAATGTGGTCGATGACGGGCTCAAGACACCTGATAGTTTGTAGTCAGCACTTCCCTATATCCAATGCCATGAACCAAAATGATGTTTGCATATCGATGGATGGACTTAAAATGCACTTATCGGGACCGAAGCGAGTGGCATTTCCGGCCTAGTTCAACTTTGCGTTGTAGAAAACGTATACAGCAGTGCTTATTGGATTACAAAAATAGTCCTCGAACGCACTTTCACTACCGATATTCTTGACGCATTCAGGCTCCGCCGTGCTATCCCAGTAACTGCTTAGTCCACGCTGACCAAACCCGTAGACCGATTTTCCTATCGGTTGGTCCCTGCGTCGCTGACAAAGAATTTCGCACCAATACGGATGTCGTGACGCAGCGCCAATCAACGAACTGAAAAGCGAGGATAAAAACTCGGATAAACTGGTGAATACTCACAACGGCAGCTGCGCAGCTATACTACTGAAAATGAATGATGGCGGAGGTGACTGTAGGCCCAACGAAGAAAAGCAAGTGAGCTCTGATGGAACGACTCATCTCGAAGAATACCAGTGGCATCAAAATGCGAAGTTACAAATAAACACAATATCACCATGTTCACAGGTGAAAATGGCAGCCTGTCCAATCACACACCACTAGTCCACCAGAAAACGAAGTTCGATCACGGGACTTTCATTAACGCAATATGCAATCTTGCTCACTAGGGTCAAGTGACAGCATCAACTCTTTAAGGCCGATATGCTCGCATTGATAACACCCCGTAACCCTCAAGCTGAAAAAGGGAATCGTACCAGTATCATGGAAGCAATCGTTCGTATTGAACATGATGTCCAACTTACAATCCCCAAAACCGAAGAGGAATCAAGAGTACTCAAATCATCTGCAAAAATTGAAGACTATGAAGAAACCTACTGGTGATGTACACGCACAATCCTTACCACGGTTCCCTCGACACACGCTCTTTTGACATCGACCAGTTGAACTTTTTCAAGTGCGGTCTCAATCGTGCGCTCCATAGGGACTAGTGGCTTTTTCCTCAAGTCGCGTATTTTTTGATCGATGTATCGATCAACGGGTAGTGTGGAAACTTCGAGCAGCAGGATGCAACGACAAAATTCTCTCGTGGCTGTCATCATATACAGATGAAAGGATGTCACTGGTCAGAGTAGAATAACAGACCTCTAAGTCCACCTTTGTGACCACTCAGGCACTCGGTTAAACACTTTTCCTCGCTTATGTCCACGATGCAACATAGCAGCGTAAATCGCATGTGTTTAACGATGACAGAACAATAACTGAAGAAGTATATCGTGGAAGCAATGAAGAAACTCGGTGTAATTTAGACGACTAAGCGGTGGGGTATTTACTGGTTAATGCGCATTTGAGGGCCGCAACCACTTACAGACGAAACATTTGATAGCGTGTGCTAACTTTAGAAGAAATGATTCAATAATGCAAAATAACAGGTGATTTCAAGATGCAGAAAAACACGGTGACCACGTCCAGAGAAAACAGTGGCAAGAACGATAAGCGCCCCATACAAAAAGAGCGAATTTTGTGCAACTGACTCGGAGCAGCGAGTTATCTATCACGTGTCACTCATTGGAGAACTGTTACGAGCAACTTGCCATACAACTCCGAGACTCTGGAATCTATGCTCTTTGATTCAAAAATAAACAAATAGTAATGATATCGGAGGGCAAAATACCATATCCTAAAAAACATGAAACTATCCTACAGGCTACCTGGATTTGCCGGGGCTTTTCTGCTAAGCAGCAAAGCAACGGGCAAATCATCAGTGAAACTCGAGTTAATGCAGTGCTTTAGCAGATAAAGACACCAGATGACTGCCAGTTAGAATTCATCCTCCGTGAGATAAAGTTCTGACGACGTACAGGAGTGCTATGTGCTCAAACCACAGGGTCGTCTGTCATCAGCACTAGAAAGAGAGGATAACTGGAGAGCAAAAAGTATCACTGAGTTGAGACTGTGTACAGAGAAACATCATTCGCGTATTTCATGCTGCATATATGTAGTCGGTAAAACGAGTCGAAGACCACTTACCTCCACCGCATGGCCGACCGAAGCCCCTTCCTGGGGGCCGTGGAGGCCTAAAGAGCATAAAGTAAGATCGCACGAAATGAGCAAGTTACCCTCCACCCCAGTTACTCCGTTGGTTTGAGGAACTATCTCGAAATAACTACGGGGCAATGAGTCCGTTTAGGAAGAAAGTAGACTTACGTCAAGAGGAAATAATGTTTGGAAGCTGGAAAAGTGAGGAAATCAAATCCCAACTTACAATAAGATGAGGATGTGAAATATTCGCAAGATAACTTGCTTCACATATTTCACATTCCATGGTTGGGTTTCCACCAATTCACCTGAAAAATGAAAATGTAACTGTTAGGAACCGTATGATTAGGCATCCGTTGCAAATGGGATGGAGAGTGACACGATTTGATAGCATGCGTACCTCTGGTTCACTGAGCTATGTAATGGCTGAATATTCACCTTTCATGGTTGCATAAAGTATATTCTTGACTTGACTATATCCATGAGTAGAGTAGAAACTACTCAAACCAACTTAATTGACTGTTGGGTAAAATTAGCTCTCAGATCCCCTAAATCAGGGGTTGGAGAAGCAGCGGTATTTATTTAAATGGAGATAACAAAAGTTGTGGATAGCCACAGTGCTCCAGTTGCCTTGTGCAGTTTTGAGCCAAAGGATAAGAGTGGAAGATGTAGGCGTTACCATATCTTGACACGGGTAGTTTGGAAGTAAGCTTCTTTATGTACGACTATGAATGATATAAGCAAACTAGTATTGCACTGAACACCGTACATATCAGGGTTGAGAAGCAGAAAAAGGCTACTGCACATATCACACTTCCTACCTTTCCATCGACACTTCGATTATGCGCACTGATCAACCGCCACTAACTCTACCATAGGCCCCAATGTGGAGGATAGTAGCTGCGACATTATTGATCTCCGGCTGCACTTATGAAATATGGATGCCGATGGTATCCTGTCACTAAAAATCGCCTAACAAGTTACGATGGTAAAATTTCTTGAGTGTGTTCAAGGAACGGACTATGAAGCACATGCAATAACAAATTCATGTTTAAAAAGCGCAAAAACAATCGAATTTTCAGCGGAAGAATTTGGATTCAGTATATTTTGTGTATTCTGTTGAGAAAGTAGAGAGATCATTCCTTGTCCTTGAGCTTTTGAAATTCTCGACAAGTTCGTTTGTACTTGTACAGAATAATAACGTTTGACGCGTCTCCGAAATTGGAACTCATCGCCTGCACTAAATCAGTCAACGACACGTGCCCAGCCTCTCGCTAATTGTTGCGCGCATCCCAAGATAGTGGTGTGGCAATCACAAGTCAACTTGGTATGGATATCAAGCTCAGCACCGGAGCTAAATCTTCGTGGATAGTGCTAGACCCAGCCTGTTTGTAGTTGTCACTTCCGCCAAAACAATTGCGGTGCTGTAGTTGCTAAATATGACTCCAACCAAGAAGGTAACAAGCTAGTACACAGTGCGGCCAGCTCAACTACAGATTGCGTTGATAAAGATAGGAAGGTGAAGGCAGATTAGCTAAACTCCTTAGATAATCAGTTCCTGGGTTTAACTGTTCGCCGAGCTCGGCGAACAGTTGAACCAAAGAACGATCAACCCGGACTACCAGTACATTCAGTCATATTAGATAATCAGTTATGTGCCAAGTACGGGCTCAGTTGCGTGATAACAAACAAACAGAACCTTTGGTGTAGCTATGTAGCGAACACAGGTCGGGTTTAAGAAGCACTTGCTGCTTGTCATCAGTAGGCGGATAGTCAGTGATGGACGCACGCAGATCACAGTACGTTAAATCACAAACACAACGGTTCTAAAAAGACACAAGCAGTCTATCAATAGATTACACTGATGCTTCGCCACCATGCAATCGCAAGGGGTTGTAAGTAAATTGTGAATCTGTCGGCCAACCCAGACCTGGAAGAAAGTGAGATCTATTGTAGCTGAGCAGCTGCAAAGCAGGCGTTCGAACCACTACACTATGAACTCAAAATGGTTCTATTTTGACAAACGCTAACTTAGAAACGCGAACATCGGCTTTAACGAGACTATACGGACCGTTGTAGACTCGTACTAATTTGGATCGCAAGGTGCGGCAAACGGATTCATCGGTAGGCAGCTGATAAAATGTCTTTACTCACAGATAAAAAGAACGGAAAGCTCTGTGTACTATGTTTTCACTATTCTCCGACAGTTATTCTAGTGGAGTAAAATCGCTACTGCTAGGCATGACACAAGAGCTTTTGAGTGCAGCCCATAAGCTGTCAAAAAACGAGCAATGAATTTACGTAAGATACGATGGAAGCTAAAGTTTTGCCAAACAGAAACGAAAATGGAGCTGAGCAAGACAATTGGCTGATTCGTAAGGCAACAGGCGGATAAGTTTCGCCTAAATAAATCCAGAAAAGTTATCCATCAATGGGGCAATCATCGACAGCACCTGCATTACAAATCACTATTAGGAAAAGCACCGGCTGCTAGGGCAGAATTATGTCAATAGCAGTCAAGTTACCCTCCTGACCATAAGCTGTCGCGTGCTGGGGTAACCCCAAATGAACTACAGCTGGTTACTTTAGAGGTATCAGTGTCATATGCCGCAGTCGATGCTGCGCTGCCGGTCGCTATTCTCTCATGCTGTAGCCATGTAAAGGTGGTGGTTTCGTTGCCAATAAAGAAAAGACACACCAATGCGAATGCTGGAATTGAACTGACTACTGGTTGGTTCGGTGGAACTGTACGCTATCGGGTGCGCCCCCAAGTTGCGGATCGGGGAAGGCCTTCCTTGTGAAGGTAACTGTGAATAAGTGTCTGCTGTTCGCAGGCGAGATAGATATGCAGTCGCGAACAATCAGCGGCAGCATCCTAGAGCTTGGGGAGTTCTGGGCTGGTCACCTGGTTCCTCATTAAATATCATAAGAGCTCGTAAGACGAGATGTCGAAGCCAATCTGACTGGCTACAGGGTCACAGACCACTTACTTCTGGTCACAGAAGTGAGTACTTAACGGAAGGTGGATGAACAACCTCGATGGCCACTGGCTTTTATGAAGGCGCATGAGTCAATGGCTGTCAACGACTTACTTGGTTCGCGGTGAGTTCGGTAGTCCAAGGAATTCTGGCCTTGCTGCTTCACTGGGGCTCTTTGGGCGCCCTGACTAGTTTGCCTCTACTCGAAAGCCGTTTTATCCTCACCTAGAGAGCCGGCTCCCAACGGTCGGAGTATACGTCAACCGCCCCGCTGCCTTGCGGGGTAGGTGTTTTATGACCCAAGGCTCCGGGAGAGATCCCCTAAGTCAACCTACTTCTTCGGCCTGGGCAACCGGGAAGCATCATGCCCACACAACCTATGGATCAATATCTCAACAACTCTTCGCTCACTCTCTCTGATCTCAATCTCTCGAATTGCTCTCATTGGCCGATGTGTTGGCGGCTGAACCTGCCAAACCACGTTTTACCGCACCATCGTGTAATCGCTTTATTCCATGTTTGTTCAACCCCCATTCTTGGTCTTCCCCCTCCGTATTCGAATTCACAAGACTGTGCCACCTTGGACGAACGTCTTCGCCATACAGATTAGGAGCGTAGGCTCGAAGATGGGTCAAGCCGTGTTGACGCCATTTCTAGCACCTTCAGTGTTCGGACGCTGATACAGATTGGATCACAGGCAGTCCTTGCGCGTACTCTAGAAACTACGGCCATTGATGTCTGCTATCTCAGTGCGACTCGTTTACAGGAATCTAGCACGACGCTACGATTAGTTTCACTGGCTGCGAATTCCACTGGCATTTTCACTTGGCGCCTATCTGGAGACTCAACCGCCGAAGCCGCTGGTTATGCTGGCGTGGGGATTGCGTTGAGCACACGTGCTGAAGTCGCGCTACTAGACTGGATCCCTTTTAACAGCCGACTATGTGCGATCCGACTTGAAACCCCAGTACGACTGTCCAGGCGCGAAGCCAGCAGACGCTGTCTATTCATCGTCCCAGCGTACGCTCCCACAGATTGCAGTCCGTTAAGGATGAGTTCTATGGTCAATTGGCCGACCTCCGTAAAAAGTGCCGTATCGACATCGTGGTGTTCGCCGAGGACCTGAACGGGCAGGTCGGTAGACTTGAAGTTAGCGAACTTGAACTCGGTGGACAACACGGCACTCGCAGGACTGACAACGGTGTTCGACTATTTCAGCTTTGCGCTGATCATGGCCTCTTTCTGTCGAACACTAGCATTCGGGGATCCTGGCGCCAACGCGCCACCTGGAGACCCCCATCACTTGGCCAGCAGTGGACACAAATTGACCACATCGCTATTAGCTATAGCTGGTGGGGCTGCGTACAGGATTGCAAATCAATCGGAAGTACCTATCTCACTACGGATCACGTGCAGGTGTGTCAAAGTCGCGCTACGTTTTGGTAGCTCCCGGCAGCGTCGCCAGAAACGGCTTGACATAGGTAAGCTTTCTGCTCCGGTTCTCCGCGCAGTTGAGGATGGCTTGGAATCACGGATGAAGACTGTCTCATGCGCATATATTGAAACACATTGAACACACATCTGCGGCGCCATGTACAACTCTGCAACCATTGTCTGTGGTTTTAGCAGTAGTCCCATCAACCACTGGATCTTTGCACGATCCTTCCAACTTCTCGAAACCCATCGAGCAATGCATGCTAGCGCTTAACACCATTCACTACGCAAGACTATTAACGCTGAGCTCAAACAGCTTCCCCGGGAAGATCGCGAGGCCTAATGAACGCAGTGGGTTGTTGAGATGGAGCAAGCGCCACCTCGGAGAATTTCCGTAAGCTTTTCCCCCTGATCCGATCCACTGGTGGCAATAAGCCGACTGTAAGCGAAGTTTGATGAGAAACCAATGGCGAGACAAACCACTGTCAACAACGCCGACTCGAGCGTTGGACCGATCATTTGAGCAGCAGTTTAATTGGTCAATAGAACCAATGAGCTCCCGTCCTGGAGTTCAGAGCGCTCCCTGGTGTGTAGACGCTTCATCACCATCCGAGGCTGAGGTTGCCCATAAGCTTCGCTATTTAAAGCGCTACAAAGCCCCTGGCCCAGATGAACTCACTCCGGCTCTTATCAAAATTGGCGGCCCATCACTTGTTCAGGAGTTATCTTCTCTATTCCATGAGAGCTGGGTCACTGAAGTTATGCCACCTGATCAGAGCCTAGTGGATATCGTGCCCGTCTTCAAAGAGAGCACCCGAACTGACTGCGCTAACCACCGGGAAATTAGTCTCATCTGTTTTGCTGCCAAGGTGCTCGCAGCTCTGCTTTTAAGGAGG